TTTAAAAAAAGTTTTATAATAAAGTTTATAAAATATGTTTTTAAGAATATATTTCATAAGCAAAGTATATCCCATATTATTAATAAATTATTATTTTATTTAAAAAATACTAAATACAATTTAATTTTCTAGGCAAATTTGTCTGGAATATAGTTTAAGGGATAAATCTATTATATCTATTAATAACTAGTTAATTTTAAGCTATATACTTACTAATTGTATTTACTAAATATTAAGACTATTATTTTAGATTTCTTTTAATCTTTCTATGCTTAAAATTAATTTGAAATAATTAATAATAATGTTATAAAGGTGTGACAACTTAGTGAAGTAGATAAGTTATCAACCTTTCAAGTGATAGATAATAAGTTCAAAACCTACCAATAATGAAAATTTGGATAATCACCTATGTAATGTATAGACAGAATTATAGTGATAGCATTCTGTCAATCAGTTGGAATAATATATCTATAACACAGTTACACCAACATAATTAACAAGTTATAGGGCATCTGTGCAATGTTGAAATTATACAGAAAAATGCAAAATAGCATCAAGCAGTGCAAACTCAAGATAAGTCCTTGTGGCTATGTAAATTTGTAAATTAAGAAGCTGATGCCTACTTGAGAAAATCTAAGTAGAGAGATAGTATGGATCTTTGATAGTATCACATAAAGGCTAAATCTATAAAACAGAAAGAATCAGGTGAACAAGAACCTTAAATGAGAGGTACTACTAACTAGGTTACTAAAAGTCTCAAACTAAATGAAAAGAACCTTAAGAAGCAGACTCTAGGATATCAAGGATATATTATAGTCCTTCTGAACTATTTGAATTAGAAGTCTAAAGTTAAAAGCAAGTATATATTATAAATACTAAGAATATGCTATGAAGTTAGTACTAGGATTTGAATGAACTCTGCAAAGACAAGCCCTATTAACAAAAAGATTAAATGTAAGTAATTAGTTAGCAAGAGGGCTTCTTGAAGCCTTACAGTTAGATGATATACTTTGAAATATGTAATGGCTTGACAGATATACAAAAAAAAAAATCAAGATTAGATTAGATAGCACTTAGATATACAGAAACTTATATACTATTTGTTGATAAGTATAGAGATTAAAGTGTTTAAATAGATAATCTTCTAGTAGATTGCAGATATAGCAGCTAGTATAGAACCTGTTATGCAGGCAGATTACTTAAAATAGACAACCAAAAGTTGTATATATGACGAGTTGTATATTTACTTTATACAAGTTATATAATCATAATTAAAATACAATAAAGACAATAGTTACTAATAACTACAGCCTTAGTGAAAACAAAAAAATATAAAAATTAAAATGTAATATTACATTGAGTAACTTAAATAAGTAACACAAATGTAGTTTAGAAAATTTTAATATAATTACTTCTATTATCTAATAAAGTTTCTACTTTGGCATTTCCAAAAAAAAAAACATTAGTAGCTTATTAACAGATAAAAATCTATTAATGAATAACTTACAAATAAACAAAATTTTACTAACAAATATAAATTTAAATTTAATAAAAATAAATTTTTTAATAATAAAGATAAATCTGATCATAAAAAATAAGAAGAACTTATTAATATATTAATAAATTATGTTTAAACTAACTCTTATATGCAATTATTATGTTTTTAAAAAAAAATTACAGGTTTATATTGCTTTTTAGTTTGTATTATAATTAAATAAATAAGAAGAAAAATCAAAAAACAAATTTTATAAAAAAAATAAAACTTATAAAAATAATAAACATAAATCTTAGTTTAAATATTATTTTTGTTTATATAAAAGTAATAAGCAAATAAAGAATAATTATATAAAAAATAATTTTTTATATTAAAAAAATATATACAAAAAGATTTAAAAAAAGTTACTTATAAGTGTATATTGTATATGGGAGCTTTGCTAACAAAATGACCCTCCAAGTCATTGTTATACAAGATTTTAATTAGAAAAATCATAATAAATTTATTTTTAGTAAAAAAAATTTATAGCAAAGATCTTATATTTAGTATCAACTATCTTCTTTTAATAAACTTATTATTATTTATTATTAATATAAATACAATAAGAATGTTTCTGATAATTACAATAATGTTTAATATCTAAAAAACTTAAAATATTATTATTAAAATTATAAAGTTTGTATAACAAAAACTATTTATTTTAGTAATCTAATAATTAATAAAGACATTAAAAAAACAACAGAAAAGTATATTAGTTTTTTTTTTTTTATATATAATTTTATTTAAGAATAGAAGCACATAGATCATTTTTATATAGTTATATATAGTATATTAAAATTTTTATCTAAAATTAATATATACTACTAATAAAACTTTTTTATTTTTTAATTAATTAATAAAAATATTTTATAATATTATAAATAAAATTATAAAAAATAGTAATTCTAGTGTAGTAATTAAGTTGTTATCCTTCAAATAGCAGGTTTAAGATTCAAATTCCACCTATGACAAAATTTGAAAATTATATTTGTATTACAATAACTGTCTCCTGTCGATTGGTTGACCTTATGTGACTGTAACTCAGATATACCAAGTCAGTTTTATTGATATTAAGAGCTCAAAATATCTATATGAACTGTAACATTATATATACATAGAAGAATATATAACTGGTATTGTATAAGGCTTCAGTGCAAACTCATGTTAAGCCCTTAGGCCTAGAAGATTAAGAAACCAAGATGATAAAAACCTACTTGAAAATTCTCTAGTAAAAAAGTAGCAAGAACTTTCAATAATACTATTAGACTGATTGAAGCTTATAAAACACCTTCATAAGAACTGAAGATTAAACCAGACATCAAATATGCATAGAAGAACATATAACCAACTAGGCTATCAGACTTACTAGAAAAAAAAGATACAGAAATATATCATATCAGACTATCTGAATTGATAGTTTAAAAAAAACTGCTAGTTCTGAGTTATAGCTAGTAAGAAATAATAAAGAAGATATTAAGAAGATAGATACTAGAGTTCTAGTGAACTTTACAAAAGTAGAAATAGTGTAATATAATAGTTAAACAGATAACTCCTATGATTGCAAGTGTTAAGTAACTATAATGTATTATATAAAACTAGGTTAATATGTATAGAACATAAAGGCTCTAGTAAGTTTCTTGTCAAAGATAAAATAATCTTAAAAGTACTAATTAGCATCAAGAACTTGAATGGGTATAACCTTGAAGATATTCTTATAATATATGAAGAATTGCATATACAGAAGGTTTAAATAGGCAAAACCTTTAGTTGACTTGTAGATATGACATCTAGTGTAGAACATCAGCAGGAAGTGTGAGCAGACTTTTTTGTATATTTTTACATCTTCTCTTCTGCAAGTTTTTTTCATCAGTTCATTAAAATTGATACTAATTTTTTGGTGTTTTTATATGAAGTGAACATAAATTTCTTGTCATTCGACTAATGAAGCAAACATAAATCTCTCATTAATTACATTGTTATTCATATAAAAACTTCTTTTTCTGACTTCAAGTGATAAAGTCATGAGAAGGTGGGCTTAAAAAATAGTAACTAATTATAGTATGTTTTTACACTCTTCAGTTTGCAAGTTTTTAAAGCTAAAAATTATTAAAATCAGTACTAATTTTTTGGTGTATTTTTATACCTTCTGTTTGCAAGTTTTTTCTAACTTCAAGCATATATGTGAGAAGATAGAATTAAGTTTCATTTTGGCTTTGAACAGTATCTGCAAGAAGGTGGAGCTAACAAGAATAAAATTGCAAGACATAAAACCCACTAGCATAATCTTTACATGCTTTGGATATAGAACTAATAGGCTTACTACAAACTTTGCAAAGAACGTATTTTTTAGACCTCCAATGTTCATGGCATCCTTGAGGATGACAACAACTATGACCACAAACTTCACCAAAGTTATGCAAATAATCACAAGTAAACTTTCTAGACATGAGTAAAAGAAATATTTTTTATTTAAACAAAAGATATGAATAAAGTAATATATAATAAAAAATACAAATATTTAAAATAATAGATCATAAAGATATTGAATTAGCTTTAGTTGAAGTAATTAAAGTAGCATATAGCCAAGGCACTAAAAAATATAACAAATTAGGAACATCATATATAAGTTATCTTAAAACTTTACAATGAAAAAGAGATCCAGAAGATCATATTAGATATGTTGCAAAACAGCATGCTTCAAATGAGGAAACCTATAATAAAAGAATAGCAAATTTTAAAGATTAGTACAATGAAGAGGTATATACTAGTTTAGAAAAGTTATATAAATTATATTTAGAAATAGCTAATCAAGAAGAAAAAGTAGAAAAGCAAACAAACTCAGAAGTAAATGAAATTCTTTAAAAAATTTACAGTTTAGAAATATAATATTGTTTAAGGACCTGTTTAGGTAGATATTTAACCTTTTTAACTACCATTAATTGTTCTCTTACAAATGATCTTTTGGGCCTATCATCATTTTTATCTATAAGTCAGTACAACACTAGTTGATTTTTTTGTAATGATTTTTTAATATAATAAACTTTTGGAGACTAATAACAATTAGTTATATGATGTTTTCTACCTTCTAACTCACCTGGTTCAAGTAAATATTTTACAGAAATATTATAAGATAATTAAGGTTTATCAAATCCAACAGGACTATTGTAAGGTAAAGAAGACATAGCACTAACTTGTTTTTTTGAATAGCTTCTGCAGAAGCCATTTTAAGAAGTTGAGTTATAAAATTATTAAGTTCTTTAACAATAATTGGAAGATTCTTTATTTAAGTTCTAGATCTTTCAGATATTGGCAATAGCAAATCTGATGCATCTTGTATTTGAAACAATCTTTCTGCCAAGGTTCAGTTATATTTTTCAACAATACTCATACTGTGTTTAGAATTAGCCTTTTGGATTTTTACACTATGCTTTTTCATCAGTCTCTCACAATTCCCTTTAAATTCTAAGCTCTTATCTGTTAATAATAATTTAGGATAAATAAGTAGACATGTTGGATTATTATAGATTTTTTTAAATGTTATAGCAATAGTATAGGAAGTTAAAATATTTTTTAGATTAATATCTTTAGCTTTTAGCTAGTTTACATCAATATTAGGAATAATACCTCTAATTGGAATTAATGCTTTATATCTACTCAATTTATCTACTACATTAAGACAAAACATATAGGTTATTTTTTTAATTTTATTATAAGGCATATAGAAAATATCAGCCTGATGACATTTATTAGGAATTTGAATAGTATTAAATGAAACTTAAAGAATATACCTTGGAGGTGGCTTGTGAATCTGAAAAATGGCCTGCTTATTTAACCAAGTATGTATCTCAGCTAATAAAAAATTATATCCAACTCTTCTACATGCATCTTGCATTTTTTCAGCAGTTTGATAATAACTCTCAGGCCTATAATAAATTTTTTGCAAAGTAATCTCTCTATCCAAATTAGGGACCTTCTATGGGTCAATATAAATTATGGGTTTCTTTATTTCTTTGTTTTATTATAGTAATAAAAAACATAGAGGAGTTATTGCAAAGCAATGAGACTATGTCTCTACAACAAACTAACCAGAAACTATGAGGTGGTATCACAATTAGCTGAATTAAATAGAAATTTCGAACAATGGCTATATATCTTAAAAAGAGTTATAGATATACATGAAGAAAGAATATAATATCTTAAAGAAGAGTTAAATAACATTATCGAGCTTTCTAAACAAGACAAAGAAGAATTATTAGAAGAAATCTCAAAACTCAAAAGAATTATTTATCAACATAAGGAAGAAAATAAAAAGAAAGATAAGGAGATTTCTAATAAGGATAAGTTAATATTAGAATTTGATAAACAAGAGACAAAATTAAAAATCAGAATTCGTAAAATATCAAAATCAGCTGGCAATACCCCTAAAGCACAAAATTATATAACAAGATTAGTAGATGAAAACAAGCAACTTAAACGAGAAATAAATACAATAAGGACTAATCAAATAAATAGAATTAACAAAATAACCTAGCAAAAAAATTGTATTACTGATCTTCTTTGTCAGAATTTTGCTTTAGCATTATTAAGATACTGAGATAAATTAGAACTTATAAATACTAGGGAAGTTTTACAAAATGTAGAAGTACAGAACTTTAATGAAAATGATTCTGACTCTAATAAAATTCTTTAGATATTTATAATTTTAATCAAAATTTAGATATGAAAACAAAGGGTGTGATGACTTAGTAAAGTAGTCAGGTTGTCAACCCTTCAAGTAGTAGGTTGGGTGTTCAAATCCCATTAACAGTGAAAATTTGAATAATCACCTATATAATATTCATATTATTGCAACTGTTACTAATGATTGGGTTAGAATACCTGTAATGATAGTCACATCAGCATAACTGGCAGGTCATAGGGCATCTGTGCAATGTTGGAGTTACATGGAGGAATGCAAACTGACAAATTGGGCAGTGCAAACACTAGATAAGTTCTTGTAGCCATGTAAATCTGTTGAAATTGAATAACAAAAAGTTCATTTAGGAAGATCTGAATAGAAAGATAGATAAATCTTCAACAGCCCTACTGTAAAGGCTAGCCTAGCGAAACAGATATCTAGGTCTAGTACCCAGTCCTAGTAGCCAGACAGGCAAGAACCTCTGGGTTGGAAGTCTCAGAAGTATCACCAACCAGGCTGCCAAAACGAATTGGAAGAAAAGGATATCAAGCTGACCT